TTATTCATTCTGTTTTCTGATTGCTCCTCTGATAGATTAATACTAAGAGATTTCACTTCAGTTTCACTAATTCTGTCTTCCATTGATTCAGTTCTACTCCTTTGCCCTTCCAATGTATTATCTATTTCTGAGGTATTAGTATTAATCTTCTAGATCTATGTTTCTTTTTATGTGTGGTTTCTAATTTCCCATTTATTATGTCTATTTGTTCTTGCATTGTTTTCTTTAATTCTTCTGGAGTTTTGTCTGTGTTTTCCTTGATTTTGTCTATGATTTCTTTGGTGTTGTCTTTGTTTTCCTTTATCACCTTCTTAATATGCTAGGGGGTGTGTGTGTGGAGAAAGCCCACAGCCATCAAATTGATTCTGACTCATAGCAACCCCCAATTGGGTTTCCAAGGTGGTAAATTTTTATGGAGATAAATTGCCTCATCTACTTTCTGTGGAGTGACTGGTGGGTTTGAATCACTAACCTTCTTGTTAGCAGTCAAATACCTTAGGCACTGAGCCACCAGAGCTCCTTTAATATGCTGAAGCATCCTAAATATAATTTGTTTGATTTATTTATCAAGTAGTTCCAATACCATTTCTTCATTTGAAATATTTTCTGGTCCTGTATTTTGATCACTTGCTTGAGCCATCTTGTCCTGTTTTTTTTTTTTTTTCTTTTCTTTTTTTTTTTAATGTGATTGAAATTGTTATCTCCAGACATTGTATTTATTTGTTGATGGTACATTAGCTTGCTTTATCTTGATTTTTTTGTTTTGTTTTGTTTTAATGTACCTGGCAATGGGGAGGGTGTGCTATTCTTGTCACTAGTTTGACAGCATTAGGGCACTCACCTCCTGTCTCCAGGTGGATTTGATAGTGGATAGGAGTGTGGGTTCAATTCTCTGATCCCTGGTTGTGTTGTTCATCTAAGGCCAGGCTGGGCAAATGTTGGTTGGTCTCTTTCTTAGCTCTGCTGGTGCTGGAGCAGGTCATGTCATTCACCCCAATGGCTGGGGCAGCAGGCGTGTTGGGTATGGCTGAAAAGAGTTGCTGGCTCCTGACTAAGAGTGATGGGGGAGTAAAAAAAAAAGTTTAAAAAGTAAGAAAAAATAAAAATAACAAAAGGGGAATAAGGAAAAACATAAGACTAAAGAATGGGGGTGGGGTGGAGTGATACAGACCAGTGCAAACTCCAGCCACAGTTGTCTGAGATGACATTTTGCAGCACTTGATCAACCACAGTGCACCTGAGGCTGCTGGGAGAGTAGAGCGATGAATAAGGGCACAACAGTGGGGTGAGGGAGGTGGGCTTGGTGGATCACTAGGTGGAAAAGAGGCAGCAGGAAATGCTTGACTGGCTGCCAGGTGGGTAGGGTTGGGAGGGTGCACTTCTGGTCCCTGGAAGTTGTGAGGGTTTGTAAAGGGGGAAGTCACAGCTCTCTGGTTGCTAGACACTCAGTGTGGGTGTCAGTACAGTCCTGGGCCAAGTGGAGCCACTTATCTGGTTCCTGCCCTGATCAGAACACTGCTTGCAATAATTCAAAATGACTGTGCTGTTCCCGGCCAACTGTCAGTTCACTGCTATATATCTCCCTGTTCACTGCCTTCACTCAGTTTCTTCTTCTAATTGATATTTGATGTATTTCTTTTTCCTTTCCTTTGAAGCTCAGGGTTCCAAAATTGTCATTATATCTGTTTCATTTGATTTCTTGGGTCTTTGTTGTAACTGATGTGGGTAGCATATCTGCCTAGTCGGCCTTATTGGATCCTCCTGTATTTTTTTATTGTTGAAAGTACATACAACTAAACATACACTAGTGTAACAATTTCCACATGTACAATTCAGAGATATTGATTAAATTCTTCAAGTTCTCCAACCATTCTCATCCTCTTTTTCTTAATTGTTCTTCTTCCATCAACATGAACTCACTGGCCCCAAAGAGGATGATATTTTAAGTGACCATGGGAGAGTATGAATGTATTTTAGCATGTGGAAAACACATAATTTGTGGCCAGAGGAGTGATTGTGATAGATTAAAGATAACTTTAAAGCCTTTAACACTTTTCCCATTGAGAGGTGCAATTTAGTTTCCTGTCCATGAATCTTGGAGTGCCTTTAGTAATTTGTTTTACCAATAGAAGACAGTGAAAATTATGCTCTACGTCTTCAGAGGTGAGGTCATAAGAAACATTACATCTTCGTTTGGGGTCTCTTGCTGTTGAACCATAATATCAGAAATTCAGCTACTCTGCTACTGCAACCATGTGGAGAGACTTTAAAACTACATAGCGAGGGAGAAGCTTTAAAACAATCCCTGCTAAGGTTCCACGCATTTGAGTGAAGCCATCTTTGACTTTCTAGATTTGCTGAGATGCCACCTGAATATCACTGTGTGACTACCATTAATGCTGTGTAGAGCAGAAGAATTACTAAGCCGAGTCCAAGCTCAGTTCCCTACTTACAAAATAAAAGGCATATAATAAAATAGTTTTGTTTTCAGCTACTAAGCTTTGGGTGATTTTTTATGCACTTTTGGTAACAAGAATATCACTTTTGCAAAGGGAATAAATGGCACTCCCATTCACCCAATAATATAAGTTAAAAGTTAATCAGTTATCCTCCAACTCTTTTTTCTGTTCACTTCCCCAAACTAATCATTGGTCAATCCCTTTTGGTTTTTTACCTAGATTTTACCTTCAATCAGTCAATTTCTTTCTATCTAAACATCAAAATCATCCTTCTCCAATCAACCATCCTCTAAGATCTTGACTGGTAGACCTTCTCACTTGTCCTTTCTCCTACTCTTCCTCTTTTATAATAAATTTTCCATACAACAACCATAGTGTTCCTAGAACATAATAAACACTCAACAAATATATTTGAAACAAATAGGTGAATTATTACTCCATATCTACCTATAAAACAACAACTTTAAAGTCATGGTCAAATTTATTTAGTCCTCATGTATTTTGAGGTCAGAGTGGCAACATATAGCAATGTTTAAAGCCTTCTTCTCCACCTTCTTACTGAACTATTCATAAGTATGAAGAGAAATGTATAAATGTCAACAGATAAGAAGATGAATAATTCTGTCATTTATCTTTGATTCTGTAAGTAATTAGTAATTATCAAAGCTCAGAAGATACCTGAGGTAATAGACCAGAGGCCTGTGCACAGCCTGACATCCCACATATGGGTCTGAAGTGCCCACAAGGATACTAGGCTTTATATAAGGGATATAGATAGCATTTACCTAACTAAATCTCCAAGATGTCATGAGAGTCAGGAGGCACCTAGAATTTTACAGGGCAATTGGAGATGTTTATCAAAATATATGGACCAATCTGTGACAACATTTCTAGTATTTTTACAGGCTCTAATTTTGGGAAGGTTGGGCAATCTACTTCCGTAGTGATACTGCCTCGGAAACCCAAGGAGGGGTCGCTATGAGTCGGGGCCGACTCGACGGCACATAACAACAACAACAACAACAATTTTGTTATTATTCCAGACCTATGAAGCTATGATTTTTTACTAGCCCATAAATTACAATACTCAGAAGTAATATCACTCCTTTTAATTCCTACAAATAAAGAAAATTATATGCTGCCAAATGAGGCTACTTGTTTTTAACATGCATTTAAATATGAATAGACTTCTGGTCAAATCATGTGATCTTAATGTCAAAACCTGACTTCCTTAAAGCTGTGAATCAGTTCAGTTTCCCTATACTCACTCTTGTTCCAGGGTTTTTACAATCTAGACCATCTTGGAGGTCAAATTTGTTTAAAAGATTGATGAAATTACTATCTTAACCAGTTTAGTCTTGATTATCCTTCTCAAATCCTTTATATCAGGTCCAGTGCTAAAGTGATTGGATTTTATGTGGTGGTGTAGTATAGGTTAAGTGTGTGGATCATAGAAACAGAGGACTTGAGTCCACATTTATCTTGTCAAACTTTTGGATCTCTCTATGATGTAGTTTCCTCATCTGTAAATTGAAGGAAATTTATAATACTTGAATCATGGGATTGCTGTGAAAATTAAATGGAGATGGATAGTGCTTTTGGAATAGACTTTCTGGATTCACATACTAGTTCCACATCTTTCTAGCTGCATAACTTTGAGGAATCTACTTAAATTCTTTATGCTTCAGATGATTTAATAGTAAAATGGAAATAACACTATTTTACTCAGTTCTACTTTATAAGTTTGTTATGAAAAATGTATGAATTAATACATATGACACATTTAGAATGGGGCATGATACATAGTAAATGCAAATATTGTTTGCTAAATAAATAAAGGAAAAGTGCTTGGCATCTACAAGTACTCGATAATTATTATTATTAGCATTATTATTGGTTTCAAGGTGCCTTTCAGTTGGCTTTGAAGTGTACAAAAGTGAGAGGTAAGACAAAGAAAGACAATTTTAATATATGCAAGAAGTTAAGCTGATTCTGGTAGGTACTACGCATAATACAGGCAGTCCCTGAGTTACTAATGATATCCACTCCTAAGTGTGTCGTTAAGCCAAATTTGTAGGTATGTCAGAACAGGTGCATACAGTTCTTGTTTAACCTTAATTTAGTTCAAGAAAGGAGCCCTAGTGGTGCTGTGGTTGAAGCATTGGGCTGCTAACCAAAGAAGGTCAATGTTTCAAACCTACCAGCTGCTCCAAGATTTACAGCCTTGGAAACCCCATGGGGCAGTTCTACTGTGTCCCATAGAGTCACTGAGTCGGAATCAACTCTGGTGAAAGTAGGTTAGGTTTTTAGTATTAGTGTAAGAAAACACTCAAAGCCTTTTCTGTGATTTAAAAGCTGCACATACAGCAAGTGATGACTGTGATGAAAGGGGTTGTTTCAGTCATTTCAAAGTGAAGGCAAAATTACATAACATTAAAGGGCAAGTACAAGTTGTCCACAAGTCAGATGTTCATAACTGAAGGACTTGCTGTACTTGTAAACAAAAATATTATAGGTGGCCTGGAATGCTAAGATTGGATCTTAAGAATATATTCTGACAGCTGTCTTTCTCAGGGCTTCTTTTACATCTCTGTTCCTCAGACTGTAGATAAGAGGGTTCAACATGGGGATCACCACTGTATAAAACACAGACACCACCTTGTTCTGCTCAGTTGAGTAGCTGGACTTGGGCATCACATAAATGAATGTAATAGTTCCATAGTAGAGAGTAACTGCAGTGAGGTGGGAGGTACAAGTGGAGAAGGCCTTATGCCTCCCTTCAGTGGAGTGCATCTTCAGGATTGTGATGAGGATGTAGATGTAAGAGAGAGCTATGACAAACACGGTGACCACAATGATGGATCCAGAAGAGATGGAAGGGATAATTTGAATGATAGAGATATCTGAACAAGAAAGTTTCAACAAAGGGGAGAAATCACAGAAAAAGTGATCTATATGATTTGGTCCACAGAAGGACAGACTCAATAAACAGCTAGTAAATGTCCAAGCATTTATACACCCACCCAGAAAGGAAACTCCCACTAAAAGGATGCAGATTCTGGGGGACATGTGGGTGGAGTAGAACAGGGGTGAGCAGATGGCCACATAGCGATCATAGGCCATGGCAGCCAGCAGGAAGCACTCGGCTGTCCCAAACATGACCACAGAATAGAGCTGTGTTTCACAGACAGGGACAAGGAGGATTGTTCCATGTCCAAGGAATCCAATAAGCATTATAGGTGTGACTGATGTAGAATAACCCATGTCCACAAAAGCCAAATGGCTGAGGAAGAGGTACATGGGGGTGTGAAGTTGGGAACAGCTTCTTATTAAAATGATTATGCTGATATTGCCTAATAAGGTGACAACATAGATTCCTAGAAATAGCACAAACAAGATGACAGAAAGTGTAGGATCTTGTGTTAACCCCAAAATGATGAACTCTGTCACCATGGTGTGGTTTCCAACCTCCATCTCTTCTGTGAATTGGTCCTGTTGAAGCAAATGTGAACATTCACTTGTTTTATGCTTTCTTTCATTCCCTCATTTCTTAGCTCCCTATTATGTCTCTCTGATACCACACATTCCGGTTTTTGGTTAGTCCTCAGCCTAATTTGTAATGACCTGTAAATATCAGTATTCTACTGGATTGGGCTTTTTAACCTATTCTTTGCAAAAAAAAAGAGAATGGTTCATCTTCACACTCTGGGATCTCAATTATATTCTTTATCTAATATTTACATAAAAATGCCTCTCAAACATTAGTTCTTAGATCTATCTCCAAAGGTCCAGATCCATAATTTCAATGAGTTATTGGGAGTCTAGTTGGAAATACCACAAGTACCTCAAACCTAGATTTGCTCCTATCAAACTCATCCTTTTCTTTGATTCTTCCTCCTATTTCTGGGGAATGACATCACCATTCAATCTGTATTTCATATTTGCATCTTAGGGGTCATCCTAGCCTTCTTCCTCTCACTGCACCATCTCTAATAAAATCCCTAAGTTTTACCAACAGTGCAGCTCCCAATTTTATCTCTGCATTTCCACAGTCCCTACCTTAGTTAAGGCCCTGATCATTTTTTATTTTTTATTCTATTTACTTAGTTATCTCCTTGACTTCATTAATATCTCCTTATAATCCATTCACAGTACATCTGCCAAAGTGATTTCTTGCTGAAGTACAAAGCAAATGATGCCAAAAGGATACATATAAGGCTTTCAATAATGTCCAAGCTTTAATGATTAAACCTAACCTCATTAGTACAGTATAAAGCACCCTTTCTGCTATGGCCCCTGTATATGACTCTTTGCTTATCTCTCTTTCCATCTACCACTCGCTCAGTGAAACCTTCCAGAACTATTTAGAGTCCTTACAATGCCCTCACCTTTCTCTGGCATTGGCTTCACCTTTCCTTCTGCTTGGACTTCTTCCATTTCCTACCACCATTGCCCTGAATAATCCCTAACTGTCCTTCAAGACTCATTTCTCTGAAACACCTTCTCTGATTCCTAAGGGCGAATCAGGTAACCTTTGCAGAGATCTAGATTCCCTTGTTCACGTTGGGTTATGGTTTTATTGTTGTAGTTATTTGCTTGTTTACATGTCTCTCTCTAATTAGTACACATAAACCAAAACCAAAAACCAAACACACTGTGGTTGAGTTGGATCTGACTCATAGTGACCCCTCATTGGGTTTCCGAGGTGGTATCACTATGGAAGTAGATTGCCCAACCTTCCTTCTGAGGGGTGACTGGTGGGTTTGAACTGCCAGACTTTTGGTTAGCAGAATAATACCTTAGGCACTATGCCACCCAAGCTCCTAGTTACTATATATGCTCCTCAGTAATTGCATATTTTATCCCTGTATCATGAATACCTAGTGTTGGGCATGACGTGATCTTAAGAAAACCTTGATGAATAAAAGAAT